ACTCTCCCTGCCGCAACCCCCACCCCGTTACCCCTTCCCTGCTGCAGCCCCCCCGCCCCATTAGCCCCTTCACTGCCACAACCCCTGTAACAAAGTGGAGATTGTAGTCACCCGATTGCTTTGTTGCACGTGATTTCTACTGTGCTGTACTAAGCCCTCGTGTGCCTCAGTTTCTCTGGGCACTACACCAATATCTAGACGATGGGAATTTCGGTGACAGCCTCCCCCACGAACACAATAGCTGATACTTTCTGCAACCTGAGCCTGGGACGGGGGTGTGACCAGGTCACGCCCTTTGTCCGAAGAAGCCGGCCAAAAGCTGGAGGCGCCTCAGACTACAGGGCTGATACAGGCTGCTGAGGGTGTGAGCGAGTCTCGCTGGCTTGGGGTGCTAGGAGGGGAATGGGAGCCCTTGGCTCTGAGCCTCCTCTCCCCAGATGGATGGTGCTGGCTGCTTCTGGTTCCTGTGCTGACAAGTCTGTTCTGTGCTGTGTCCCTGTCACCTAATAAATCTTCTCTTCTACCTGCCATCTGAGTCACATCTGGCTGTGGATGGGGGTGCAGGGCCTGGTGGTTCCCTTCCCCTCGATAACAGCCCTGGCCCCGTTAACCCCTTCCCTGCCACTGCCCTGCTAACCCCTTCCCTCCTGCATTTTGCCTGGCCCCTTAACACAAGAACTTATCCCTGCAACAAACCCTGTTGCCAACTCTGTCCATACATCTACACAAATGTGCCAAAGGTTAAATGGACTCAAATGGATCACAAAGCAAGGTAACATACAAAAACCCTTAGAATATGTTAATCTCCCTGGATGCTCAGTAACAGATTTAAAAGTAGCATCCTTCTACCAAAAAAACTGCAGAAGCAGACTACAAAGAGAAACAGCACAGCTGCAAAATTCATTTGCAAATGTAAGGATCAAATTAGAAGTGAATAAGGACTTAGAATGGTTCTCCTACTACAAAGGCAATTTTCTCCCTCCATATTCACAGCTTCCCCATCAGCTGCTGGGACTGAGCACATCAACCCAGACTGAACTGGCCTCTTTAACACTGGTCTTACACTTGATAACGAAGGATGAGTCTACACTGTACAGTTATTCCAAAATAAGCAGGTTGTGTAGAGTACCCAAACTCCCTTCTTTTGATGTGCTAGTTCATCTGTATATATCCCTGCCTCTATTTTTCCATTCTATGCACCTCATGAAGTGGGCTCTACCCATGAAAGCTGATGCCCACATAAATCTGTTAGTACTTAAGGTACCACAGGACTCTGCCTTGTTTTTACACACATACACCAGCAGGAAATTGTCACAAGCTTGAAAGATGCTGCTTCCTCCTGCTGGTGAATGAGGGGAAAGCACCTCCCCTCCATGCCACTGGCCATGCCAAGCCCACCTAGATTCTAGGAGACAGAAACTTACTCAGGTAAGGGGACCTTATGCAACTGGCCATCCCACCCCAGAGGTGGCTGCATCCCAACACCAGGCAAGAGATCCTTGTGAAATCAGCCACCCCACCCCAGAGGTGGCTGCATCTTAGCGCTGGGCGAGGAGTTCCTGTGTAATAGGCCACCCCACACAAGAGTTGGCCCCCTGGTAACCATCTGTTATGCCCTAGAAGTGGCTGCCTCTCACCACCATGGAGGTGTCCCTGTGTAACAGGCTGCCCCACTCCAGAGGTGGCCACATCTCAGTCCCAAGCAAAGTGGCCATGTGTAACCCCCTCCTCTGCCCCAGAAGTGGCAGCATCTCAGTGCTGGGAGAGTTGTTCCTGTGTAACCGGCCACCCCATTCATGAGGTGACTGCATCTCAGTGCTAAATGAGAGGTTACTGTGTAACTGACAGAAAAGAGGAGACTAAGGTGGGATATGATAGAGATTTATAAAATCCACTGGTGTGAAGAAAGTGAATAAGAAAAAGTTATCTACTTGTTCTCACAACATGAGACTGAATGAGGGGTCACCAAATGAAATTAATAGGTAGCAGGTTTAAAACAAACAAAAGGAAGTATTTCTTCACACAACACAGTCAATCTGTGGAACTCCTTGCCACTGGATGTTGTGAAGCTCAGGACTTTAACAGGGATCAGAAAAGAGTCAGATAAAATCATGGAGCATACTTATTAGCCAGTGTCCCTAGCCTCTATTTGCCAGAAGCTGGGAATGGGCAACAAGGGCTGAATCACTTGATGATTCCCTGTTCTATTCATTCCCTCTGGGGCACCTGCCACTGGCCACTGTTGGAAGATATGATCCTGGGCTAGATGGACCTTTGGTCTGACCCAGTCTGACCATTCTTATGTTCTTATGACAGCTCCATCCCACAGGTGGCCACATCTCAGCCCCAGATAACCAGCCACCCCCACATCTCAGGCTACTTTTAGACTACAATGTTTTATTGCATATCTTTTTCTTCTTTTCTTGGAAGAGGCTTTTCCAACATTTGGCCTGTCTATACTGGGCCAAATGTCAGGAAAAAACCCTTTTTTGGAACATCCCTTCTTCCTCATAAAACGAGGTTTATAGGGATGCCAAAAAACCCGTGTCTACTCTTCTGAAAAAAAATTCAGAAGAGCAGACGTGTTCCTTGGATGCAGCAGAGTTTTTCCAGGATATCACAGAAAACCCGCGTCGCCTAGACGGAACCTCAGTGCCTGACAAGATATTCCTGTGTAAACGACTTCCCAGCACTAAGATGCCACATCTCAGCTCCAACTGGGAGGTTCTCTTGTAACCAGATGCCCCACCCCACAGGTGGCCATGTATAAGTGCCAGGCCAGGTGTCCCTGTGTAACCATCCCTCCCGCCCCACAAGTAACTGCATCTCAGTGCTGGGGGAGGGGTCCCTATGTGACCAACCACCCACTCCAGAGAGAGCCACATTCCAGCTCCAGGTGAGGGGTCCCCTTGTGCCCCAGAGGTGGCTGCATCTCAGCCCTGGGTGAGGGTTCCCTGTGTAACCAGCTGTCCTGCCCCAACTGTGGCCACATCTCAGCCTAGGCGAGTTGTCCCTCTGGGTATATCTACACTACATGGCTCCATCAACGGAGCCATGTAGTGTAGACATACCCTCTGTGACCAAACACAGACCTTCAGAGGTGGCTGTATCTCAGCTCCAGGTGAAGGGTCCTGGTGAAACTGGCCACTCCCCATGCCCAGAGGTGGCTGTATCTCAGTATTTGGTGGTGGGTGCTGTAAGAGCTGTTACAGCAACACAGGGTGTGGTCTCCAGCCCTGCTTGGTCTTTGACTCTGGAAAAATAGGGTTCATGGTCCAGGAAACAGGGACACATGATGCCCCCCTCGCAGGCCAGTTCGCAGGCTCTGGGGATTCCTGGGATGATCAAATACAGTTCTCCACCTATTGTGGGGTGGCAGTGAAGGGCAGCAGCTGGGTGGGGAGGGTCCAAGTCGGGAAGAGCACCGGGGGTGGGGGATCTGTGAGTCAGGAGTGAAGGGCACCGGTGGAGGAGCTGTGGGGGGAGTGAGGGGCACCAATGGAGGTGCTGTGGGTGTGGGAGTAAAGGGCACTGGTGGGGAGTGCTGTGGAGGGAGTGAGGGGATACTGGTACGGGGAGGTGGGGGGCAGCAATTGGAGATTGCAAGGGGGAGTGAGGGATACACCGGGGGTGGGGGATCTGTGAGTCAGGAGTGAAGGGCACCGGTGGAGGAGCTGTGGGGGGAGTGAGGGGCACCAATGGAGGTGCTGTGGGTGTGGGAGTAAAGGGCACTGGTGGGGAGTGCTGTGGAGGGAGTGAGGGGATACTGGTACGGGGAGGTGGGGGGCAGCAATTGGAGATTGCAAGGGGGAGTGAGGGATACTGGTATGAGGGCTGCAGTTGGGGGGAGTGAAGGGCATTGGTGAGGGGGTTTT